CAATCTCTCTCTCCCTCTCTTTCCCATATAATTGATCGTTCGTATGCGAATCCAGGTGGAACTCTAAACTGCCGCACTTGCACTGTGACGTATTGCCGATGCGTCCACTAAAATGGCAGGCCTCTTCTTTTTTTTTCTACTCTGTAACAATCGATGTTTGCCTCGTTACTGTGTTTTCTTGTGTTCCTGTTGGAAAATCATCGGCTTTTTATCACTACATATAGTAACAACTAACATGCTGCGCGTAAAAGTGCATCAAATGTGATAGTAACTTTGCGTGATTTTTTTATAAAAATAAAAGTTCATCAAGGTTCTATCTACGATATAACTAGTATGCATTGATTAGATAAGAAGATTAATTTGCTATAAAGATTATGCAATGACTATCGTATGAAATTTTTCAGGCTAATACGTGGCATTCATTATTGTCCAATTGCATCATTTTATTTTTCGAAACAATAGCACGGTTTTTAGAAAAGATATGATAAAAAAGTTCCATTTTCATGCTGGCTTTTAAGATGTAAATGAGGCGAGTGTTAAATAAGGCAACTTTGCTTATAAATATTTCAAAGCCGGCCGTGCAAAGTGACCTGAAAGTTTGCACAGAGATGTGTGCATATAACAACTACAACTTTACAAAGTTTCCGAGCGGCGCTGGCTTTTGATTTAAGTAGACACTGTCTTCATCTAAGAAATATTCAAAAGTTTTGAAAAGCACACGCAATGTAAGATACCAGAGTAACACAGCTACTTAGTCACAGACTCTCCCTCGACTAACTAATAAGGCTATAGCCACGCGTAGGCCAAGGGTCGAAGGCAATAAAAAAAGGTCGACGAAAAAATGCGAGTCACGGAATATCGGAAGACAGGTCAAAACAGATGGCAGATTTTCTAAGAACTTATCCCACGTACGCTCCGAAATGCCCAATACTCAATAAAAATAGATTGACAAAATCTCAATCGAATGGAATAACATCAAAAGTAAGTTGGATTATTTATAATTTAATTATTAACCTACTTTTGAGAGCAAAAATATTCACGTATTTTTTGTTTCAAAGAGCTACCGAAAAGTAAAGCAACATCCAATTATTTGTCAAAGTATATCTAAACTCTCTCACTCAGGCTCGCGCTTTCCGACTGAGCCAACAGATAAGCCAGCGGCAAACGAGGGATCGTTAAGGGGCTCGTCATATCCCAGAGCCAGATACTCCTATCCCAGCACGCCCTCGGAGACATAACCGCGCTCTCTCCTTTCCTGCGCCTACAAAATTAATGAACAAAGCGACTTTATCGGCACACATTATAGACTCAATATACCCGAATCATTGAAGATTTGTCGCTAGCGTTTCCTATGTAAATTAATCGCTGTCGTGCCTGAATGGACTTCTCAAATCTGAAATTTAAGGCCCAGAATGTTATTTAGGCAATAGAACAAGACTTTCAAATAATCCTTCATAAAATACGTTGAGTTTTTAAGATTAAAAATAGTGCTTTACAATTGAACAATTTCACTCTAAAACCATCACGAGCACGTACTCAGACAAACCAAAGCTAAAATAGGTTAAGCAAGCTTCAATTTTTTTTTCTTTCAAAGAAGTCGGTTTGAGTGCAAGTTGCTACGTGGGAAAGCACGAAAACGTGTTGTGGAGTTTCTCGATTCGTCGCAGACAACTCGTCACCATTAAAGGGGTAGAAGCTAGGGTTGAGGCGTCGGAAATAAAATGCTAAAAGGTGTGCAGGCGGCGACAACGACGCCGACGACAATCGTGGGGCCGAGAGAGAGCGGAAAAGCTAGAAAGTAGGAAGCAGCCAAGTGGATTGCCTTGGCTTCGGCGTAATATCGAGATGATGATGAGCAAAAAGTCATTTTCACGCCGTTTAACGAAATGATGAACGGTGCCAGCTGCAACGTTGCTATTTGATTTATCTCTTCGATGTCATTATCTTACAATCGGTCTAGGCTTACCTTCACGTCTTTTCAGCCTCCTTCAAACTTATTTTCCTTGTCTATACGATAATGGAATTTGAAAGCATATTAACCTGCTCATCATTTTAGTCCAACAAAAAATATAATAATATTTGTAAGATAATTTTATATAACAACAAAATATTTCCACGAATAAACCCATAAGATCTAAAATTGTCGTGGAAATCCAATTACCTTCAATATATTCGAAGGATTAAACGATCTAAACCAATAAAGGTTATTGCCGTAGCACGATTCATATCAAGGTTTAGTATGATACGCACCATTTAATTGAAGCTTATTGCGGCTTGTGGAAAAGCTAAGAAAGAATGAAAATCAAAATGTTTCATTAATTCAATCGTACTGAAAAATATTTGTTGAATAAGTGTATTTTCAAAAGTTTCGGAAGCGAAGAAAAGATATGAAAAGCGAAATCTTCCACACAGTTAGGCAAATTTTCCGCGTGCAAAAGTTTCGTAGCCATATCTCACGTAAATATGGAAATGTGCCGAGGGCCAAAGTAAATACTTATGTAAATATGATATTTTTCTACTCTTTATCATTCTACAGGCATCGATATGTAAAAATAGGATGACTGAACAATGTTGCAACAGCTTTCTTTCTATAACAAAACGATAGGCTGGTTCTCTGTCGATAATAAAAATTCTGGAAAATATTGACAGCAAAATTGACTTCAATAAAAATGTTTTAAAAACCAATTCTACTTTACAATTGAGACAAATTGCTCACTGAAAGCTCTACTCATCTACATCATTATACTTTTCGTCAACATCATTTCGAAAATATTATTATAAGGTAAATTGTAGTCCATCAATCATTTAAAAGTAAGCATCTTCCAATTTAACAAAAGTAAGCTCTCAATGTTCATAATTTCGGAAACATTAAAAAGCATACACTCCAGTTAACTGCCTAAGAACCCATCGCACGTTTCCTTCCTTTGCGAGATTTTTACATCATATAACTAAAAGCATCCCCTACAGCAACGAAAAAAAGCTCTTGAAAAAACTTCATCTTCAACAGAATGGAAAAAAACCCGAAACGTTGCACAGCATCATCTTTCCCATCTGAAAACCAATAGCACTCTAGCGACGACGAAGCACCGCGACAAAAGCGCCGCGCGACTGTCACACCCTCTCGCTTCTTCGTCTATATACACGCAAAGAAAAAAAAGTGGAGGACAGACACGACGGGGGTAAAGAAGTTCGACGGGCGTATAAGTCTCAAGAGACGAGTAGATCCCCCGTGGGGGGTTCGCTTCGTCATGCCGTACGCGTGCTCCGAGAGCTTGCGGGCAGGTAGCTCGTGAGCTGCCAGGCTTATTATGCTGGCCAATAAAAACAGCTCGGACATGATCAAAAAAGATTTTTCGGCTATAGGCTGCTGGCGGGATTTTTCGTTTTGGCTTTGGCCACGTCGAGGAAGAAAAACACGCAAACAAGAAAATATTTGAGTGTCCTATCGCCGAGACAGCCAGGAATATCTCGATATTATCATTGCCGCGGTAGAGCTTTCGTATTCTGAATATTTGTGGCTCGCCTTACGGTATTTTTCAGACAGCGTTTCGCCGGTGTTATCCGTCTCAATTATCAGTCTTTTGTACCCAAACGAAAGTCATACGACTATAATTTTCGTTATTATAATTAAAAAAAAACGCAATCACGATACTTGCAAAATTATATTCCAAAGAAAACCTTTACCCATTGTTATTTATTTGAGTCCAGCACGAAGAATAAAAAAAAACGTAGCCCGTAGATTATAAGGCTCGAACGGTTTTCAGTGTTTGGCAAAAGAGATATACAAAGTGAGAGTGCGCGTGCGTGGTACAGCTCCACCTCTCTTTCTCTCTCGCTCTCTCTCCCTCTCTCTCTCTTTCTCTCTCTCTGTCGCTCCATCGACACAGCTGTGCGAGCTGGCAGCGGTCGGCAGCTCTCTGCTGCTCAGTGAACCGGTGTAAGAGCGCCGCGGCGCGTGTATATCCGAAGCCTTTATTCAAGTTCGTACCTCTCTCCCACACTCCGCGTCGAAATAAATAAATATATATATATATATATATATATATATATATATATTATACACATATATATACACGTATATATACACCAGCCACTCGTATATACATACGTGTTGTTCAGTGTACGAAGCGCGAGCGAGCAAGAGAGTAGCTTGCGATCAGCTGGTGTTACCTGGCATACGCTCGCACACGTACGTATACATTGCTCATCTCACTCTCGCAGTGACACTGCGCGCTTATACGTGTATGTGTTCTATGTCGTCGGGCGCTCTGCATGGGGAAGAGTCTATATGCATGATGCAGAGAGGTCGAGTCTAAATGTTTGTTGTCCAGCTGCCGCCGTCGCCGCCGCCACTGCTGCTGCTGCTGCTGCTGTTGCTGCTGCTGCTGCTGCTGCTGCTGCTGCTGCTGCTGCTGCTGCTGCTGCTGTTGCTGCCGACGGAAAGCAAAACGAACGCAGCTCACTCTTCGTATCGATGCGTTGTGTACGCTTACTCAATGCGCGATTGTGATATTCCGGCGATTGGCCTCTTCACGAAAGCTATCTTGTTTGGGAGCTCTAGCCGCGGGACGAGCGAGCTCCGGCGGTGTATCCCGAATACTCAGGAAAACGACCTCGCGGATCTCACTCGTGCTTTCTTAATGTACGCTTGCTCTATGTTTTTTTAACTCTCTAGCCTTCCTTGTTTTCGCGCGTTACGTATACTTTTGCCTTTTCGTCGGACACGCAGCGAAGATCCGACAGCCTCTTCGTGTACATATCCTGGAGGGTTATCCTCGATGTGGATCATCCGGTGCGTTCGCAATAAGAGATTGTCGGGATCGACTCTCTTGGCCCTCGAGCTGCATCTCGAACGACTTTTGCTCGGCTAGATTAATGCGCGCAGAGATGGATCGAAAAACGAGAATAACGAAAGCTGTCTGCTTGTCACGCATGACGCGCAGACGTATCTATCGGAATGAGATTTGTGTGCTCAGTAAGACAAGCGTCAGTGGCGAGCGTGGATTGTGTTTCATCGAGGGAAGGAAGCGAAGCTCACACCGCCGATGGTGCCTTCGGACTGTCCGCGCCGACGATAAACGCTCGCACGTCTCACGCCGCAGACGGCACAACAGCGTGGCCAGACAAAGGCGCAGCTCGTAGGAACGAGGTCGAATCGGCAGTACGGCAGTGGCAGCGGTTGGTCCTTTGATTCATTCACGGGGTTATACAGGGAGGTTGCGCCTCGGCGCGTGCGTATTTATACGCCGCTGGCGAGCAGCTTCCGTGCAGATCGATCCACGGAATTCCCAGTCACAGCCAGCCACGCTACGTGGTCGACGGCGTTTGAGGTTAGTCTTGTGCCTCCTCGCCTCGTCGTCGGCGATCGCCGCGAGCGAGCGACGCCCGGCCACTCGTCCCGGTGAGCTTTCCCAGCGGCCAACTCCACGCGGACGCCGTGGCGCGCGCGTTGTCGGCCGAACGCGCGCCCGTCGCGGGAACACGCGCGCACGATAGGTACAACAGGTGATAATCGGGCTGCGCGTCGCCGACTAGGTTTCGAGTCGGCGATGCCGTGTCGAGGTGCAATAGCGCGCGAGGGAGCTCGCGACGAGTGCGTTTCGGGGGGAAGCTCGACGGCGAAATACCGCCATTGCTGCACGCTGGTAACCTAACCTATCCCTGTGCATTGAGCTTTTCTCCTGCAACTCTCTGTCTCTCTCTCTCTCTCTCTTTCTCTCTCTCTCTCTCTCTCTCTCGCTCTCTTTCTCTCTCCCCTCTCCCTCTGTCTCAATGGCTCTTGCTACGCGCAATCCGAATTAGTCCGCTAGCAAGTTCTCGTTCGAACGCGCCGAGTGGGATCTCCGAGGACACTCGGTGACACGCAGGGAACGCGAAGAGGACGCCTCGAGTCTGAGAGACAAGCGGCGCGTATACTTGCGCCACGCTCGAGATGATCTCTCGGCGAATCTGGAAACGAGCTTCTCAAAGGCTCTCCCCGATAGCGCGGCACATACCGGGAGTACTCGCCCCGGGGAATGCGGACGAGGAAGCGGGCGAAACGCGCGCTCGCACTGCCAGGACGTCGGGCGGCTTGCCGCGCAGGAAACGCTCGCGGCCGGGAAAACAATCTGGCGCCGAGGACGTCCGCGCGAACGGAAAACCCCAGGGGCGATGAAAAGGCCGGGGCGCAACGTCCGGCTTCCTTTACTGCAGGGGACGTCTACGGTCGATCGTCCTTTTCCTGTCGCGCATGCACAAAAGATAAGAGAGAGAGAAAGCGAGCGAGGCTCGCTCGGATGACTGATAGCGATCTGTTGAGACGTCGCGCGACTGCGATCTTGACTTGCCTTTCGCGAAAGATCCAGAGCCAGCTGATATGACGATTGCGATTGGCCCTTCTCGCCCTCAATTCCGTTTTATTGTCAATGTCACTTATTTTCTCCCCCGTACCGTGTTTCGTGCTTCCGATGCTTGCATGTTTCAGTGGCGTTTGGCATGGCTTTCGTACATTTCTGTTGCTTATTTGTGACTTGACAACTACATTATTCATCCGAGAATAACATCGTGCGCGTGTATTTTTAAATCGATGAGTCTGCAATTGGGTGGGTTGAACATTCTGCGCAAGCTCGTTTATTTACAATTATTATACTTTCTGCGATACACAGACGTGAGCCCGCTTAATTAATAGCATAATATTTGCGCCTGGCTCGTTGACAGATCTAGTTACGTGCGGTAAAGTACCACCGCCCACTCGATCACCTTTCGCGCGCTATCGCTGCGAATGAACAAACATAAAGAACATTAGCAAGCACACGGCACAGGCTGTGCGTGCAGTCCATATGAACGTACGAGCGCGTGCATTTGCAATTACGCTTGCTGGCTATGAAATTGCGCAGTCAACCTTCGCGAATGCTCGGTCATTTGCAACGAGCGTGCAGAAGGTCTACCGTCAAAAAAGTCAAATCAAAGTTCTCTCACCGATCTCCCTGTTCCCTATACGAAAGGTCTCTACCGGCTGCTGCGGCGCACATACGGGGATTGATGCTGGCGGCGGCGGCGGCAGTGGTGTCAGTCCAACCGCGCGGCGCAGAAGATGATCACCACCAACGCAATCGGCAGCGGCTGGAAGTACCCGTAGCAGCGTTTGCCTACTGCCACCACCGCGGACCCACATCGCTCAGCGTCGACGCGACCGTTATGGCGTAACTGCTCAGCGCTGCGCATAATCTGTTCTCCCTCTCTCGCGTTGCTGTCCTAGCCCGTCACACGCACGCCGCAAAACACGCCTGGACTTCTCGCCCAGCTGCCTCTGCTGCTGCTCGTCGAATCGGTAAGTTCTTTATTCGCGTGCGCTCTTCGTTAGGGCGCTTGCGATAAAGTTTTCTAGCTGGCTCGAATGGCAACTTGACTTTATATTCTTTTCCCCTTCGATTGCCGTCGACGTTATCGGCGTTATGCCGACACGCGGATCAATGTTTCGAGAAATGCCGAAGATTGACGCAAACGAGCGTGAAACGGGAGAGGACGAACCGCGCGCGCGAGAGGTGCAACGTAGCTGACTCTCTGGGCAATATTTCATTGGGGACGCGCCTGTGTACGACGGATATTGTTTGTTCTTTCGTCCCGAACGAACACTGCCAATTCGCCCGTGGAGCGAGACATACGTGAAGCGGCGCTGCCGGTGGGGCCGGTGTTACGCTTGAGAAACGAGAATAAGACAAATAAATCAACGGGAACTCGTTCTACCGGCGGCGCTAACGAAGGAACGAGTACGAGCCTTCCTCGCCTATCTCGTAAACGCAAGCTCACCCGTCGTCACCCAACGACGAAAACAAACGCCCGTTAAGCGATGCCCTTATCGTCCGCATACCTGCGCGAGTACCAGCGCGCACAGCTTGCCGACACTGTATGAAATATCGCGTGCACGCTGCATCTGCCGCGCAAAAAACTGTCACGCATCCACATCCTAGAAGTTATTTTTCATTCATTAGCGGCGCGTACCGTCTTTGCCGCTGTTGACGGCGGTTTCCTTTTTCTCTTGTTCACCGAAGAGGCCTGCAATTAGCAAACTAGTACTGGTTGCTTTTTTTTCTTTTTTTCCTTTCCGAGCTGGCTTAGTCGATATCTTACATCACTACTGGTATTTTTATCGAAAGTTTTCCGAAGAGGAAATCCAAAAGAATTCGGCATCAATATGACAAGGCACCCCGCTGATACAAAAGAAATCACGTAAGCTCCATTCAATCGACAGCTATTTCGTCCGTGTCTGATAAATAAGTCAGTTACGATCGCTTTGTGATGAGTCATTAGAAAAACATATAGTCATCGCAAAATCCACCAACAGCTTTACGAAATAGCTTTCATAGCTCATGGAACGTTCGATATTCTTTAAAAGGCTGCGTAAAACTGTCAGTTCTAATTTCAGAAGGTCGACCTGCGTTAAGGTCCCATTCAAAAGTCAAAAGACAAAGAAGGTTATTTACGATTGAAAAACAAAGAAAAGCAAGAAATCAGAGTAAAGTCTGTTTAATCGTAAAACGTGAGCGTCTCCTCCGGAAGCCTCTCATTTACGTAAAGGCGCATAAGAAGGGGTAGGGCGTTTGATATCTCTTCTGCCTGCTGCTATATACGCCTGGGTGAGCGTCTCACTACTGCTGCCGTTGACAGGTGCAAAACCTCCAAGGCATTACGTTGTTGTGCGCCGAGGTGTGCATCCATTTCTTCCCTCCCCCTTCTGTCTCTGCGCCGCCACGCATTTTCCGGACCCCGTCATTTCCTGCATTGCTCTTTTTTTATGAGCCAGAAGGAGGGAGAGTGTGCGTGTTTTTCCTCGGGTATATTTAAAGTACTATGCGAATGCGCTTCGAGAATTGTTGGGAATTTTTTCTCTAGTACATATATTTCTTTTTTATTAAACTCTATAATTACATTGAGTTATTAAAAAAGTACTGTTATATCATATCTTGAGTGGTTAATTTGTTGATTGTGCTATTTTATTTTTAATCATTATTTATAATGTAAATAAATATTATAGTGACATTTGTAGCTCTAGAAAATATCAAATATAACTAAGAATTTTTAATTTAAAACAATTTCATAATTTATACAATAATAATTTACTTCTAATTTACTATTATAAAAATTAATATAATGAATTTCTTTCCCGGTATTTTAATATCGCTTATTATTTATTATCACTGCACAATTTTTTGTTAATTCTATAGATAGAATATTGAATTTTTCTTTATAGTTTTCCATTTTCTTATAAAGCTGCTCTCACTCTTCTTATAGATGTGTCTTTATTTTAACCTTACACGTTCTTCCACGTAAATCTTACCGAGAATTACCGAAAATATCTTCAGAGCATACTATATCTACTTATAGTCACAGCGTTCCTAAGTATATTTAAGAAAAAACGGAAATAAACCCTGTTTGTAGATTAAAATATTAGTGACGCAGTTTGAAAGTGCCATTAACGACATGTTTACGATTACCACAACAATTAGCTTCATTATGAATAAATTGAGAAGACGAAAAAAAATATTGTTGTAAGAGAAGAAATAATTCTGAAAATGAAGAATTAAAAGAGAAATGCACAATAGCCAGGATGATTATATTTATTAGAGTAAATCAAACGGAAATAGACACATTTCCACTGAAAAAGACTCGAATACATAAGATTCAGTGTTCCTCGATAAAAAAATAGAAAGCCAGTAATCTAAAAGTAGGCACTATTCGGTCTTTTTCCCGCTGAGAGCCAATTCGATGAATGGGATATAGCGGAGCTGGTCGTCGCGCGCGCTAGCTGAAATTTTGATTATTGCATCGCTTTGCCATCCGCGCTCGTGCTACTTTTTCCAATTCCATTTCTTCCCTCTCGTCCCGAAAGCTTTTCTAAGTCTTCTCCTCTGCAGCAGCACCTTCTCGTGCGTGAGTGCGTGCGTTTTCGGTACGTGCTTTCGCGCGGAAACAAACTTGAATATTTATGGGTGCAGCGAGAACTAAAAATAGAAGATTTTTCGATCATGCGTGCAGACTGTGATGCCTTGTTTCCAGTCTTGCTCCACTTCCTTCTCGCCGCCTTGCTCGGCTATCCCGCGTGGGTTGATATTGCAATGAGCTCGCTCCCTTTTACGAGCGCGAGCCTTCCATATTTCGAATGGAACTGCATGGAGATGCGATAGGCAACGAATATCCTCTGTCGAATTCCAGTGGGTGCGGGTTTTCACGACGGGACTCTCGAGCGCTTCGGCGTTCAGTTGAGAAATTTCACGAGTTGCGCGAAAAACAACTCCGGTCAAGCTTACAGATAGCCGGCGGCGTCGGCGACTTTGGGAAACGCTCGAGATGCGCGGAGGTTATAAATCAAGCTGTCGGCCGAGGATCGATTCTAAGCGCAAACTGATCGGGGGTGTTGCACGCGGGCGATATATCCTCGATTTCGCTGCGCAACAGCGGCCCGCCGTGGCGCCCGACACCGGCAAATAATCGATACGCGCTCGCGAAGAAAGACAAACAAACAGAGCGGAGAAGGGTCGAGCCGCGCGATGCTTGTTGATAATGTGTTTCGGGAACGGCGACGGGCGACGGGCGACGGGCGACGGGTGACGCGACATCGCGTAAGTCGCAGCACAGCCGGCTAATTATTCGGCTCTAGCGCGACCTCGGGTCAAAGCTGCTCGACGGCGACACTCGGCCGACCGATCGTCGTCGATGTCGGCGCGGGCGAGCTGCCAATCGAGAGCGACGAAGCCGTCGAAAAATACAAGCGCCGACGCGCGCGGCTATACCATGGCCGTAACGCGCATCCATCTCAATTGCATACGTCGGAGTGGCATGCGCGTTATGTAAGCGGCCGTAGTGTGCAACTATGCATCGATCAGCGCGCGCGCGAAATAGAAATTCCATACCCGTGAGCGCTTATCGCCCTCTGCAAAGTGCCCCGCGCGGATTAAGTATGCATGAGCGCTTGTACGGGAAATTACAGTGCGCGAATCGAGAGGGAAAGGGAAATGTGTATTTTCTCTCTTTATCTTTTTTTAATATTCATCCGGAGTCTCTTATGACGGACGATCGAGTGCGTGACTATGCTTTGAATTAGCCGTGAACGAAATGATTAATTTTTACGCCGTGTGCTGGGCAATTGCCGTAGGTCGAGCTGATGAGTTCAGAGAGTTGTCAGGGGTTCGGTCAATGCTGATGTCTTTCTCAATAATAAAGATAGGCCGCTGACCATGAGAGTTTCGATGATGTGTTTCCCCGAAGGAGCGAGACTAGTGAATTGCCGTAAGAATGAACGGTGTCGAACAAATGCCGACTCATCGTCGGCGCGGTAACTGTTGTTTCGACAACTACATTAAGAGCTCATTGCGTTAGTTACTTGACATCAACTTGATGACTAGCGATCTACCAATTGTTCATATACCGGAAGCAATTTACAGGTAAGTGAATTATTTGCGAAAGTCGTTTGTAATGAGAAATAAATTGTCAATTTGGAAAAGTGCTAAAAACACATATCGCGATCGAATATTCGCACTCGCACACGCACGCGCGCGCATACCAATATACCCGTACTGTCGGATCCTCGTATAACCGGCGCCCGGCAGCGTATTATTTTTCTTCCGAAAATAGTCAACAACGAACTCTCTTGAAAGCTCAGGCTATCCCGCGTATATATATGTATGCGCGCGCGCGTGTGTATAGAGCGTATGCGAAAGCGCGGATGGCATATTGATTGCGAGCGTTTGTGCCCGCGTTCTTCCACTCGAGCCGCCCCCGATTATTACCGATTGCCTTCGCCGTGCCGGGCGAAAGCTATGCTCCCCCTTCGACTTTTCCTCTTTCGAAATCTGCCCTTTTCATATTTCGGAATCTGATATTTTCCACGATGAGAAAGGCCGAGCGCGAGCTACGGTCTGCAAACGCTTTACACTCGGCTATTATTTCTTGTCGGCTTTTCCGCGCAGGCTGAAACTTCGATAACTCGAAAACGAATAGGCGCTCTGTGATGAACATTTTCAAGTTTGAAAGTGCTCGAGTTTGAGGCAACTTTGCCGTGGCAACGAATGCAAATCTCGAATGAAATTCGGCAAGATTAAGTAGTACAGAAGTTCCAGGCTATCATCTTTCGTTTGCCACGCCACCTCGGCTCGCGGAGAGCTTGCGCAATTACAAGCAAACTCAAGAGACGTCACGCGTCGTTGCTCTTATTTCGTGATCGTGCATCGCCGCAACCGGTTCAGCGGTAAAGGACGAAAAAAACGTTGTTGAATAGCCGCGGCTCTGCGTTAGCCACCACTGCGTGCAAATGTAGCGAAAGATAGCCGAGAG